TCAACGTTTCTCGGCGTCAGTTCATATGGAACCCAATTTCCTTGCTTTTGAATCATTCCTAATGATTTTAAGCGATGTGAAATTGCTGGTTGAGTCACTCCTAATGTAAGTGCAAGTGCTTCTTGCGTTTGGCATGAATCTTCATCCAATAATGATTCCAATTCCGCGTCTTCGTACACTTTCGGCCTTCCGCTACGTTCTTTGTCTTCGACGTCAAATTCACCGTTCTTAAACTTTTGAAACCACTCACGGCAACTTCTTTCACTTAAGGCAGCCTCACCATATGCTTCTACAAGCAATCGATGCGCCTCAGCTGCAGATTTCTTCAAATTAAAGAAGTAAATCAAAAGCTCCCGCAAATGACGTTTATTCGGCTCAAAACTTGACATTTTCGCACGAAAAAAGATATATGATGCTGATACAAAATCGCTAATATTTAAAGGTTATGTTGTTACCAGATGTCCAATCCTACGATATGACGTTGTACAGCAGACAATTTTAACCATAACATACTGCTGGCACCATCTTTTGCCAAACGGCGGAAACTTATTTATACCCCTAATATTTAATAAAGTACAATTAATAGACGTTTCGGTCTTCAATGAGACCTTCTTCAGTATTCATATAAATTAAAAGTAATACGCATAATTATAACATAATTTAAGACTTAAAATTAGATTCGTAACAAATATCAGTATTATTTTTTTGCTATTACAAAATTTCGTCAATACTTTACTCGCAAAAGTTTTTATCCCCTCTCTTCTCTTTCCTTACTAGATGTGATTTTTATTCTCCTTTAAACGCAATAGTTCCGTATCAGTTTGTTAGTATGAGCAGATCTTGGAACGTAACCACGAACAATTGTGTAAGCAAATTCTCTCGATGTATGTCCACACAAAAGTTCCAGTTTCTATTAAATAATATATGCAATTATAATTTAATCAATACAATACAACGTTTTTAAAAAAAAAAAAATTAGTTATCTTATAAATATTAGAAATAACTCAATCGGATTTAATTTAATAAAATATAATTAAACAGTCAAATCGATTAATTTTCTTAAAACTTGCAAAAATGAAGCATTAATACCGCAACATCTAAAAAAGATTGTAAATTATCAAACGAATATTTGTACTAACTCTTCTCTTCATAAATTTGAACGCATAAAACTCAATTTTATTAATAAATTAATCATATGGGAGATTCAAGATGCTTATAGACAACTCGCTCAGATTAAAAATGAGATATTCAAATTAAATAGGCGAATTACTAGTTCTTTACCTAGCAACCTCGGGTTGCTTTTTCCTTTTTTAGTAGACAGGAAAGTACTTTTAACAAACTATGGTTCAAAGAATATAATAGTATTAATAAAAAGTTAATAAATTTAAGAACTTCAACATCTCTATTAAG